ATATTTTAAGATGTAAAATGTATCGTCGCCAGCAATCGCTACCTAGAACATGCTTGCATGCGGTATTCCCAACCAAACTCATTACATTTATGCGTTTTCCCCAACATTCAAAAACAAATAATTTTCCACCCACAAGATTTGTAAACCCATCGAAATCCATACCATTTCAGCGGTATCTGACCAATACACGTGTTTTGCAGAGATTTCAATGCGCCGGATCAACGAGCCAGTTTCCCAATCATAGAAACACAAAGCATTCGTTGAACGAGCAGCGACAAGCGGCCCACCCTCTATGCCTTCAATAACAATATCCGGTCGCAACGTGCGCACCTCCTGCAAAGCAGTTACTAAAGATAAACTGTTTAAAGCAGTAGTAGGCAGGGCAAGACTAGAACGCAGTAAGCAAACTTTGAAATTCCTGAAAAGTTTGATGCTCGAAGCTGATTCACGAACTGCATATTCCGAAGGATCTGCGCTCCATACAAACTCCATACCCGAGCCAAATGCCTGGAAGAAGAGAAGCACGTTCAAGGCAACGAAAATTCATTAACCAGCAAGCTGATACAGCAAATCACCTTATTTCGCAGAGCCGTTGAAGTGTAAATAATGTATTCACCATCACCACATGCAACCACAAACCGCCCGTTGGAATTATGAGACAAAGTCTGCGGATATATTTCGCACGAGCCAACATCTTTTACGGACAATGAGATGCGTTCACCATCTGAATGAACTGGGCTGAACATGAGAAGTTAACGGGGCGCTGAGAAGGTGCCGATGAAAACGCAACCCTGTATTTGCTCGGCGATTGCCGAGTCCAGCGTCTTCAGATTGGCCTGCTGCAGCTCGGAGTGTTTGGCCCAGAGGATTTTGCCACTGGAATCCATGCTCACCGCTGGCTCCTCGCGACCCAGTTTCACCGTCACCGAACCCTCATCGTAGCCGATAGCGATCGTATTCGAGCCTCGCAGAGCATAAATGCACCAAACACGTTCCAGGCCGTAATTCAGCGTGGTTTCCAGCCTGAACAAAAAAAGAAAAAAAAAACCACTGTTGATCTCCGGTGGTTTGTGGCGGTAAAAAAAAAGATGAGCGCGAGAAATGGGCACCTGTAAGTGCTGGAATGCCACAGACGAACTGTCGAGTCTTCCGAACCACTGATAATAACAGGGAGCTCGGGATGGAAGCAAACAGCCGATACATTTTGCGCATGGCCATCCAGCGTCGCAACGCATGTTTTGTTCTGATAATCCCATATTTTGACCAGGCGATCATCAGAGCCCGATATCAGATACGGTTTATCGCCGCCGTGATAATAGTCCACACAGTTCACACCCTTCTCATGGCCCTGCAGAGTGAAGTTGGCTGTGGAGCTGCCGAACTGCCACACTTTCACCGTCTTATCCAACGAGCCCGTTGCAAAAGTGTTGTTGTCTTTTGGATTG